TTGATGTAATTAAAGACATCATAAATGGTACGGAATGGACAACATCCGGTTATTTCCCCCGTGTTTCAGTATGTGATTTTACGGTTAGCGGATATCCATCTATCGATCTATTCTATCACTATAGATAAATTGATAAAATTGATAACATATCTTTCAAAATTTGTTATTTCTCCTTCTGATTAATTCGATTTTGTCAGAAAAGAGACGAAAGTAGATAGAACATTTTCAAAAATTGGCAAGAAAAGAAAAAAGCCCATTTCATGATTTTGGTGAAATTTTGAATATTTTTAGGTTCGACAAGTTGGTAACATTCAGCGTTATTCTGTTCAATGTGTTTTAGTAATTAATATGTTCAATGAAAAAATTTTTGTATTTCTTTGGTTTTGGTATCTATTTCTTGTCCTTTGCACTATTTTATCATTAATTTATTGGTTCATCATCCTAACCTGTCCATGTTTTGGCCGTTGGTTCATTTCACAAAGTTTGGAATTATCCGAAATGAAATTTGATCCTGATAGTAAGTTTTTATTTCTTCTTTGTTCCTGATCGTAATTGATTGTTAGTTTGATCGTGGTAATAAGTGATTGTTACTTTGATCGTGGTAATAAGTGATGCTACTTTGATCGTGGTAGTAAGTGATTGTTACTTTGATCGTGATAGTAAGTGAGTATTGCTACTTTGATCGTGATAGTAAGTGAGTGATTGCTACTTTGATCGTGATAGTAAGTGATTGTTACTTTGATCGTGATAGTAAGTGATTGTTACTTTGATCGTGATAGTAACTGATTTGCTACTTTGATCATGATAGTAAGCAATTGCTACTTTGATCGTGATAGTAACTGATTTGCTACTTTAATCATGATAATAAGTGATTGTTACTTTGGTCATGATAATGAGAATGCTTTGTTATTTTGATGCTAATAGTGAATGCTTTGCTACTTTTAAGTATCATTGAGCTATTACTTTTTCTTCATCTTCCCAAATTTTAATATTATTTGATAGTTTGATATTCAAAATTTTAAATTTAAAAATATTATTAATTTATTGTCGCTTTTTTGAAAGTGAACAAAAAAAAATGACTAAAGTAATCTTTTCATAAAATCAAACATTTATGTATATATATATATATAAACGAAGAAAAATTTCTCGAAATTTCCCTAATGAAAATAATCGGAAACACACTAATGTAATTAATTAAATTCATTTAATTTTATGAAAAGAAAAAAATCAAATAAATAATTATTCCATGAAATTATACAGTAATTAAATTTTATCATTACTCAGATTATTTCCATTAAAATGTTTATTTTGATATGGAAAATTTACAAGTACGATATTTATACGATCCAATGCAATACATCACTACTAATGAGTAAATGAATAATTGAATAAATAAATATTGTAAATTTTTTTCATTTTTTTTCTTAAAAAAAAAAAACTTAAATTTTAGCTAAAGCAAAAGAAGTGGATCGATTTGTGGGAAGTTATTTACGATGTGATGGTTTGTTTGTTTTACGAATGGTTGAAATTCATGCTGGTGTATTATTCGGCACCGATTTGATACTTTCACTTTGGAATGCTTTTTATGAAATTGAAGAAAAGGTAAAATTTTCTTCTTCATCCAACATTTTTCATTCCTCTAATTATCTATTTTTTTTTTTTCTTTTTTTTACAAGCGAAATTCTCGAAAAAATAGTCTTTACTCTGGAAATTCCTATGAAGAAAAAAAGAAAAAAAAAATAAAAAAATAAAAAAGTAAGTAATTAAGAAAGATACGTACGATAACTGTACATTTTGCGCATATCAAGCCCGATTACTCTAAAGGTTGAGCTCATTCTTCATCGATATTATTATATCATATTATCAGTGATCTTTTCTTATCACTTGTTGTCTTATCACTCCTTTATTTTTTTTTTTAAACTAATTACTATCATTTAGCTTTCTGAAAGCCGTGGATCAATGGATGATGATAAAGAGAATGCTAGTAATTTATGCCGAGCTGATTCCTTACCGAATGATGTAATTGTGAAAGAGAAATTTATCCGTTTACGGAAACCAATTAAAGAATTAAAAATTAATGCTGAATCGAATACAGTATTACTACCATTGATACCGGAAAATCCACAAAACGAAAAAGCTGAAGATGTTTAAACTGATATTACAATTGTAAAATATTTATATTATATATATATATATATATACATATCAATGATCTCTTCTTATCACTTATTGTTTTATCATTATGAAATCGGGTAAGTTTTATGATTTGAATTGAATTCAAAGTAATCATATACAAAATTAGCTACAAATTAACTTTTTTTTTTATTAAGCATTTGATCTTTGATCTGAATAAATTAGGACGAAAAGAAATGTTTACTGATTTTTTCCAATGAATGTTATTATTAATAATCGTACAAATTTCAACAAAATTATTTTCAAATTATTATTATTTTGATTATAATTAAAGTCTCAAAAATTTGTATAAATTTCAAAAATTTTGCATGAAAGACAAAATGAAATTTTGTTAAAATTTCTCAATAAAATGGTAAATTAAATCTTGTTTTAATTTAATTTTAATTGAATGATTACTTCCATTGACAGTTTTACTCTCCTATTTTTTTTTTATATCACGGGAAATTTCAAAAAGAAAAATTCACTCCTAGACTATATTCAAATGATCAAACTTTAGATGATTAATAAGCCTTTCATCATTTTATTATTCCTTTAAATATTAGCCAATATCACAATCATAATTTTTATCATAAATTATAAATTTTAATTTATGAATTTAGCATTATTTTTCAAATGTTGCTATCATCGGAGTTTTTTTTTTCCACCGATATTAGTTTGTTATGATATTAAAGTTGTTTAGATTATTCTGAGCTTTTCATTTATAATTACCGCCTTAATTAGTGATATCTTTTTGATTTTTGTGCCTTTTTCATGCCTGTTAATGTTTGATTTTATTAATTTGACCTGTTTACTTTTGCTGCTTCAATAGAATTTTATTTGCAACAAATAAAAAATAATTTTTTCTTTTCATTTTGAATAGACTATGTGACAGGGAAATGTTAAAATGTTCCATTGAGAAAGGATTTTGCTAAATTTGTGAAATTTCAAATTTTATTTTTCGTTAATTAAGCCGTCAAAAATCCTTCCAACCTAATTATGATGTCGTCAGGTTTCATAATTAATTAGTGAAATGAGATGAAAAATCTTCGAAGTTATGCCTTTTATGTATTAACTTTTGATATTGCTTTTTTGGCGTTTCCAATTTTATAATGTATATCATTTTTTTTTCTTTTTTTTTTTACCTAATCACAAATAAATCGATCAAATATTACTACATGAAAGACAGCAAA